CTCTACGCCGCTTGATGGGGGTCTTAAATTGGCGGGTTGTACGGCTCAATTCCCCGGCAGATTCCCGCCTGTGGTTTTCGAAACGCAAAAACTGCATTTTTGCCGTGTTTGGTGAGGGTTACAGCACACCTCCACCCGTATGATCGTTCAAAATGATGATCGTTCAAAATGACATCATTTCAAATAATTTTAATAAAAGAACAAGTGCAACCTGGCGGATCCGGTATAAATTTAGCGTTTCTGCCACATTAATGTTACATAGCGAGATTTTAGGGTATAGTTTGATTCATGCACTGTTTCTCTGGCCCTCTGTTACCCTCGATTAATAGCTCTATCTGTATCCGGCGACTTCAGCGCCGTCTCAAAATTTGAATTTCCCTAAAAACTACCTCTTGACTCAGTTATATTCACGAGTGCCTTTTCACTTTGCAAACGCAGGATAACACGACCCGGTGGTAACTAAAAAAAAAATTGGAAGCAAAGATCTCCGTTAAGGATCCATTTACCTCCGTATGGAATCTTTAGGCCGGCTCCGCCTCCTCTGCGTATTTCGTGCAAAATTCGATTTTAGCTAGATTCTGGGCCTTTGGCCTTGTTGGCTTGACCTCAAAAACTTCCTCACTAAATCCTGGGCAAAATCCCCGGCCCCCGCCCGCGCGTCTGGCTCGACAGATGATCGGAAGCGCCGTTGAATGGCCCGCGCCACGGCAGGCCTCCCTTTACCCGAAGAAAACCCAAAGCAAAACGCGATGAATTGCCCCGGCGTCGTTGTAGGCAACAAAAAGGCGGTCTATATAATTTGGTTAGCCCCCCGTTGACTGGCTAACCACCACCAACAACGCCTCCACCCTCTCAACTTGACAATGGGCCACTTGGGCCACCCGGGTTGGCCCCCGGGGCCACGTATTTTGCGGTTTAGAAAAGCTTTTAAAAGAAGTTTTGGAGCTGCGAACCCAAAAAAAAAAGATAAACTAGCATAATTCGGATTGGAATAAATTTCCTATCTTCTTTGTTATATTTCTCTGCTCTCTCTATCTCCATTGCTCTCTCTCGCTCTCTCTCTTTCACGGTCTCGCTCCTTCTCTTTCGTTCCTTCAATATCTCTGTCGATCTTTCCTTTTCCCTCCCTCCCTCTCTCGCTCCCTCCCTCCCTCTCTCTCGCTCTCTCTCGCTCCGTCTACCTCTCTCTCTCTTTCCCTCTCTCTTTCCCTATTTCAAGCCATCAAAGTTCTAAAACTGGTGCCGTAGTCGGCGGGCTCGTGATAAATTCAGATTAACCCATTTCGGCCTCTCGTCGTCTGCCCCCATGCGGAATCACAGAGTAGCCGCCGGGGGGGCATGGCATGGCATTGGTATGGATCCGGAATCGGTAAATAGGCCGAGCGGGGTGGCTGTTTGTTGAGTCTTTTCGAAGGAAACAGCTGATAGGAGTTGAAAAGCTAAAAATCCGGTTTCTTCAGGCAATTTTTGGCTTTCACCCGTTTGAATTATCAGATTTGGCTCCTAATCATTATTTTTTGTGCAATTTTGCCGCTTTCGAATTGTCTAAAATTTGTGGATTTTTCAGCCAGCTTTGATTTGGTTAACCCAAATTCTCCATCCTATTTTAGAAGTTTACGGCAGCCACCCACCAACTTGCGGCGAAATTTTTCGGATGACGCGCGCTTGTGGCGGCCAAAGTCAAATGCAGCGCGAGTGGCATTTCCGATTTGAGGGGCAGCCCCCAGCCGGACATCCACCCCACCCTCGCAATTCTTGCAAAAAATAGCGCCGCCGGAGGAACGCCAAGCTGGGAGACATTCTTTTAGAGCCAGACGATAAGAAGTCGGGGCCTGAGATTCGCGCCATTTTGAAAGCTAAGGGCATTCAAACCTTTTAAACAGGTTGTAAAAATTTGATATGTTACAAATTTAAGTTGCATTAAACAGCTAAAAAGGAAAAACCACATTTAACTTTGATAGATTAGACAAATTTTAAATTGTCCACTTTTTCTACATGATGACACTGTGTTAACCTATTTATACCTATTATCTTAAACACCAGTAATTGATTAAATTCAATAAATTTAGTTAAATTATATTTTTACTTAAAATTATTTCCGAAACAATATTTGGAAGATTTCTAATTTTTCATGGTTTTTCAAACAAAATTTTTGTAATTTCTCGGACCGTTCCATCCATAAATAATGATTCTGGTTTTTATGTATATATGGATTAAATCTCCTATTTAATGGTTCCGATATTAAATTTAGGATTTAAGTTCGAATTCTTCCCCAGACGATCTTAAACTTTTACTCTTCGATAGCAACAAGTCGCTCCTCTAGACACCCCTCATCCCCCGGGCTATCCCACCAATTATCCCCCTTCTTTGTCTCCTCATTCCCCACCCCTTAAAATGCGTGACTGCCTTCTTGCGTACGTAGAAAGTGACATATGGGCCCCCAACCCTCAAGTTGCCAATTTGTCAGGCCGTGCCCAGGAGGCGGCTACCGCTAATATGGGGTGCAACAGCCAATTTCCCGTTAATTTAGCCCCAGATCTTCGCAAAAGCTCGTCAGCAAGAGGTCGTGCAGGGATTTTTCAGCTTGTTTCTGGCATCAGACGTTTCTTTTTTACTAGATATAATGAATTAAACAGGCTTACAGATCAAAAAAATTCATCAGGTCGCCTGACTTGGCTTTAATGAGACTTGGAACCTACAACTTTTTCTGATAAAATGTTAAAAGTTGGGCGCATTTCAGGAACTTCACGAGCTTTAGACGCTGCCGGTTTTAAAAAGACTTGCATACGCCAGAGTCGACCTGATTAGTTCACAAGGTACCGACAACCGCCACGCTCTATCTGACGCATCAGTTATGACAAAATGAATAGAACTTAAGCTCGACTTTGGAGCATTCATTATGAGCAGAAAATGCCATCTGAAATCTAACATTTCTGCCGACGTCTAGATGTCGATTCCGTAGCTTCCTAGTCCCTTTAAATGGATTTGGAAGCCATGATTTCAAATGTTCGTTTCTTTCTAGCGTTTGTTTCTGTACTTTTGAGGATCTAAAGCTTAAAATCCTGGAACACGACATGGCACGAAACGCGTTCAGCTGACTGGACGTTTTCCAAACATTCCCAAAATGCCAATTCTGGGGGAAGCGGCCGCGTTCTCATATTTTTATCATCAGCCGGCCGATGCTGCTTGCCCCTGGCGTCACAACGGCAGGCGGAGGGGGCGTCATGTGTTTTGGAGTTTTGCAAGAGTTTTGGCATTTTTGGTAGTGTTTTTTTGCACTATGGATCGTAAATTTTTCCTTTTTAAGGTATAATCGCTTAATCAGGCCATGACCGAATTCTAGCCAAAATCCCGAAAGCCATGATCTCGACAGGCGAAAATCCCGACAGCGAAAACCGCGACTTTTTTTGAAGCTGGGTTGCCTGCTATTTCCTATAGAGCAACGATTTTTCATATCTGGATTCTAGCTGTCGGCGTTTGGCTGTGGGGATTTTGGCTTGTCGGTATTTTGGCTGTTGGGATTTTTGCCCGTCGGGATTTGAGTTGTCGGCATTCTGGATTTTCTAAACTTCCACCCCCAAACCCCAGACTTATTTTTTCCGCAGTTTCAGCCCGGCTGAACCGGATGGAGCGGCCCGGGCATCGGAAGGCCAGGCCGAAGCGACGCCCGAGCAATCCTAACAGCATTTGATGGGGCGCTCGTGTCGTATCGGGGTGTCGATTTTTGGACGCATTTTGCCCGGGTGCCTCCCTGCCTTTTTTGGTCATGCGCCTAGATGTGCGGCCAGCGTTCAAATTTGGTAATTTATCGGGGTTGATGTGTTTCAAAATAAATGGTTTTGTAAAATCTAAAATTTCCACTTAAGCCAATATACAAGGAATTTAAATAATTAAGAGTTTAAAATATTGAAAAGCGCGGTGAAATTGTTCATGCAAAAAATCTTCGCTTCTCATTATTTCCCGATTTTTCCATATTAAAAAGCCGAAAGTCCTTAATTTTTTTGTCACATCTTACTTATGTGTTGCCCGTACCTGACTAGACTGCCACAGCCGTCACTCAGTCCAGCTTCACCCCGGAAGATGGCCGGAGAACCCGCGTTAAAAATTTATGAGGTATTCAAGAGCGTAAAATGCGTATGTGTGTGGCCCGCCAATGGGCGGCCGGCACTTTCCAAAGAGTTTGGCGAGCCTTGGAAAACGCTCGTAACCCGCGCTGTGGATTATGCAAATGGCGGCGTGTGCGCGTGGGGTGAATTGCTTTTTCGAATTGGACTGTTGTCAAAACGTCGGATACTGTCTCATGTTGCTAGTTTTTGTTTTCACGCTCGACTTTAGCTTAGGGGCCCATTAAAGGAACCATGAACCTACAAAAACTTAAATGTCTTGGCACTGCCTGCTCTTCTAAGCATAAAAACGCCGCGAAGCGTTTTCATGCGTAGAAATTTTTTAGCTCTTGGGCGTTGCGTGCCGCAAATTCATGAAAATCTATGCAAAATCCGTTTTAAAGACCAAAATTTCGTCACTCCATTCTTGCGCGTTGATGTTCCTGCTCTTTCCACCATTGGCAACATTCAACGGTGCTCATAAATTCGTCCACCGCCTATAAAGTGGCCACTCGAGCGCCTTATCTTTTCGTTCCGTGTTTGCCGCGCCAGGGCCTGGCGGATGGCCGATGGATTTCTGCCCGCATTTTCGGCTTTGCCTTGTTTTCGGAAGGCACTGATTTTTTTAGCTGTTTGATAAGGTAATGACTGTTTTTACGTCAAAATAAAGCGAAAAACCTTTTAATTTAAGGTTTTGGAAACTGGAAAATTTACAAAAAAATCATTTTCTCGATTGTTTGCTACTCTTTTAAGCTTTTTCCTGGAGATGCTAATCTTAGTCCTATGATGACTCCATTTTTAGATCCAAAACCGTCAGCAAAAAACATACATTCCGATTGATAAAAGCTATTTTTCCTATTTCTATTTCTCAAATTGTCTTGAAGACCTGATGCTTCCATGCGAATTGAAGGTATTTTCTGGTTCAATCTTTATATACGATTTTTTACTTCAGTTTTCAATCGATTGCAAATAGGGAACTGCCTATTATTCCTGACTTTCTTTCTGAAATTGGCCCTCGGCAAGCTATGCGCCGACGGCACCACCCAGGATGACTGCGAGCGGTATCGCTGTGATAGCGGTAAGGGTTGTATAGCCGTTTTATGAACTTTTTATTTGATCTTAAAGTGTATCATAGCAAAGTAATGTAACGTAATGTAAATAATAGCTATCAAAAACTTATATTCTGTATTAACTTTTCCAGTAGCAGGTATCCAACACTCGCCGCTGGAATATTCGAGTCGAGCGGGGCGATCGATATTTTCACATCCTTGCCGGTATGTGTTTATGACTATTAAAATCTGATTACATTTGATAGACTGTGCATTTTGTATTTTGTTAAATCACTGGTTAAAATAACTATGCCCCGCGTGGGATTTTTCGTATCCTAATATAGCTTTAACTTTCCGAGCCCTTAAAATGTTTACCCGCTACCACAAAAGTTGATTCAAAGCTATAAAAATGCGTTAGAAAATTGCATTGATACTGAATAAAATACCTCATTTTTCAGATGTCTCCCCGACTGGAATAGTCTATTCTGTAATCAGAGCACAGCTCTATTAAATCTACCTCCAACTTCCCATATCAGCCCACCGACTGTTTGTATATGCAGGTAATTCCATCACTGGTTTACACCTTTCTATTAAATATTCTTTTAGAAAATTCTCCGACTCAGGAAGCTACTGCCATCAATTCATTACGCGATGTTTTAGGCGCGGTAGCGGGAAGTGAGTCTCTCAATCACTTTCTCTCTCTCTCTCTCTCTCTCTCTCGCTCTCTCTCTCTCTTTCTCGACATTAATGCACGTTTTTAGATGCAACTGCTGCTTCAACCAGCCCGACGAGTATTGTGACCACGTGAAATGTTCGAATTTACAGCCGGATTTTGGGTAAACCAGATTCCAACAAACAGAAACGTAAATATTTATTTTCAGCGGTTCAAATACGACCTGTGTCTGCTATTCAAATCCGGCTGATTACCCTATGCAAGTTTGCGGGAAGCCCCATAATCGGATAGGGTCCAAATGGAACGCTTGGAGGGAGGCCAAGGAGGCTGAGGCGGCTTCGTGGCTTGATTTTGTAAGTCGAGTAGATTAGCGATCTCGTTTTCCCCTCTCTCTCTCTCTCTCTCTCTCTCTCTCTCTCTCTTTCTCCCTCTCTCCCTCGCTCTCGTTTCTCTCTCACTAACGAAAACTTTTTTTTCAGGACTCGCCGTCATTCCCGACCTCCCTATCGTTCATGCTCATCCTCGGATCGTTGCTGCTAATTTGCGTCCTATTGATATTTGTCGCTGTCAATAGTCAAAGAAGAAGGCAGAAGCAGGCCAGAGAGGTAGTTTTCATGTTCTTATTAAAATATCTGAAACCTGAACGTGAGAAAGAGAGAGAGAGAGAGAGAGAGAGAGAGAGAGAGAGAAAGAGCGTGCAATAAACAGCAATGAATATGCATAAAAACCTCTAGCTCCCCCGAATCGACCCGTTGCTGCGGTATTAGAGACATAAAGCCTGGTAAAAGCTTACGTTCGTAATACCGTCCAAAATCCTACTAGTTTTTCTGAAAATTAATTCCTGTTTAGCGGAGGCGCGCCGACCAAAATGGCAATGGCAACGGACAGCAACCGGAAGCTTTAGAGACACTGCTACCTCAAAAGCGGCCAAAGACGGCCGAGACCCAATTCAGTTAGCTGTTTGTAATTTGGTTGTTATTAATGTAAATATTTCAGCTTTTTACGCTTTTTTTCTGAATTTGATTTATGACGAAATGGATGCTAAAATTATTTTTGAAGTTTCATTTTTTAATCAGGTCCAATTTTTAAAATTTTGTAATTTTCGCTGTGAAATGGCTGAATGTTTTTAAAGGGACAAGGAAGCAAAAATAGACAAATTTCGAATGCTGTTGGCGCTTTTATCTTTTGCTGTGATGGAACGAAATCCGCAAAAATCACTTCTAGTTTGCCACTAAAAACTGGTCAAAATACTTGGCTTACGGCATAAAAAAACAGCTTTAACGATCTGCTTAAGATTCTCGCCCGATTTTTTTTTACTTCCCAATCCCTTTAAAGCCTTGAGTGCCTGTTAAACATTTTTTTAATGATTTTTATTAAATACGCTTTAATACCTTTCCCTGCTTCGTGTCTGTGAGCGCCAATTGTGATCTTTTTGCTTCGATTTCATTGTTTTCTTTTGTATTTTGCATATTTCCTTATTCGAAAGTTTTTATACTACTTTATTCGACAATTTCACACGTTCACAACCTTCAAATAAAAATAAATAATACTACATAAATTTCGGGTTAGTAGAGCAAATATAGAAATCTACATGTGAAAAATGGATGGCAACGTTTAGGGGTAATTTTTACTAGTATTTCCAGAATCGATCTACGTATTGCGTCAGATCAGTAGTGTAAGGAGAGAAGAAAAATAGGAAAAAGTGGATTAAATTTTTGTTAATGTTTAGAGCGTTTTTATCATTTTAACTTACGGTGTATTCAAATCACTTGCGTAAGTGTCTAATTTTGAGAGTAAAAATTTAAGTATATTTTGGAGACGCGTAAGGAAATCAGCCGGGATCATTCGCGGGAAAATTCTTTGGTGCTCTGCTATGTACATTTCAATGAGATGGTGGTTTGGCGAGATTTGGAATGAAAAATTACGAAATTTGGATCTGAATTATTTTCCAAACGGCAAAAATCCCTTGACCATTTCGAAGGCGCCGTTGACGGTGGCCTTGGCCTTGTCGACGTGTTCGGTGAGGCCGAGTTGGCCGATGATGCCTGAAAAAAACATTAATATTGGAATTAATGGAGGTTGAGGCGGGCTAGCAGAGATTTATGAGGAATTCCCGGTTGACTGCCCGTTGATGCATTAATGGAAACGATAGCAGGTATTCCAGGTAAGCTAGCTAAAAACTTGGAAGAGTTGTTTTAAAAGAGCGGGATATACGCATCTTAAAACCTGAAAATCGCTTGTTTCAGGCAGGTTAGCAGAGATTTTTGGGTAATTTTGGAAAACTCCAGCTACAAATCACGCAGAAAAGGCATGCTAGCAGGGATTTCCGAGGAACTGTATTGAGATTTTCGGTATAGCGTAATAATAGGCAGGAAGTCGCGATTTTGACGAGGGAATCAAGAATTTTTGGGATTGGATACCTAGGTTTCCATAGCCTTTGAAAACCGTATGTAAAATTTACCAAATGTTTTGTCTTATAGTTCTATAACGAGCCAACAAAATAGTTAAATAATTAATTTACAAACTCAGACACTACAAGGAATTGGGAACTTAAAAAAACTCCTTTTTCCAGCGACGAACGCCGTCAGTGGTAAATTGAAACCCTATTAAAAGTAGCGCTCGTAGTTTTAGCCACTTGGCATATTTTTGCTTGAGACTTTAGTATCAAAAAATTACGATAAAGCTATTAGGAAAAACTCACTATCATCCTCGGCGTGCATCTCGGCAGCCAACTCCTCGGGCGTCTTCTTCCTCGCCGCTCCAATTCTTCCATCGGCCATGTCAAATCCACCCATTCCACCATCTTCGTCCTTCTTCTTGATGTTGTACTGAAAACGAAACGGTTTTCCTTTAAATTGTATCTTGAGAATTCAAGAGCTCGAAACTTTCTGAATAACATAACGTCGGCGAATAGAATGAACAACCAAATAAGTCGTTTATTCTATATCTATCTATTTCTATTTAGTAATCTATTTACCTTCTCGCGAATTCCCTGCCTCATCTTCTCGCGCTCCTGCTCCATTTTGCGGTGCTTCTCCTTGCGGCGCTCCTCCTGTTCGAGACGCGCGGCTACGACCTGAAAATGTAAATATATTTAAGTTCCATTTTCGGCCATTGAAATACATTTTTATTTTGCGTTTAGATTTATTGAATAGTTTAATAGGCTACATTCTTGGAAGTTCGCGTTCATAAAATTTTGCAAAATGCCTTTAAAATTAATTTAATTTTACAACAAATCCGGCAGGTAGATAATATTGTGCTAAGTTTTTTAAGTTTTTTTATTTGTGAATGTTGATTCGATGGCTAGGGACAAAGGCTTCTTTTGAGACGTATGAGATAAGAATTTGCATAGACATAATTTTAAATAGCTAATTTCGGTTTAAAATAAATGCTGAAGCTATGGAAAGTTCTTCAAAGAGCACGAAAAATCTTGCGAGGAACACGTGTGGCCCGAAATGACCAAAAATGTCCTAAAGGCCCGCGTGTGTTTCGGCTCTTCTTCCCGCTCCTCCAAAATGTATGTGTGCTTGTTCCCCTCTCTACCACCCGGGACATATAAAAAAATAAAAATGAACAAAAACCACCCCGGTCCCCCCTCCCGTTGGCCATGTTCTCATCGCGTTTTCATCGAAAATTTACGAGCCTGGCAACAGGGGCTCAAAGGGGAAATGGCGGAAAAGGAGGAAGAAGAAAGGCGTGGAGTCAATCTGACGAATATCACGGAAGGGAAAGAGAGGAAGACGGAATTTCTAGACGACGATCGCGAACTTAAAAATACCGACAGCCTAAATATCGATTACCACGATCCCGACAGCCAGATTGCAGACAGCCCCGAAAAGTCAATTTACTAAAACCAAAATGCCGACATGAAAAACCTCAACCGGTCAAAAATACCGACCAGAATATCGACACGCGCCAAATCAATATCTATAGCTATTTGATTACTAGATCGTATTAGAGCTGTCGGTGTTTTGGCATTCGGCATTTTTCATGTCGGGTTTATGCTTGTCGGTATTTTGCCGTGTCGACTTTAACCGTCGGGCATTCTGCTCGTCGGTATTTTGAGTATCGATATTCCGGCATTTCCCCCTCCAAAAGCGGAAGATATATGCGGATCTGACGGGGATCATGAAATGGACGTGAACCAGCCGGGACGCGCCAAAAGACGGAACGCTATTTTAAATCCGGGCTTCATCCCAGGGGATGGATTTGGAATTTTGGGGGATATGGGGTTGGGAAGGGAGCTAAAAACGGGCGTTCCAGGAGAATAAAAAATCTAGAGACGCTTCTGGCAGGCAGAAGATGAACTTTTAGATGGGGCTGCTAAACTCGCTCAGAATCGCCAATTTCTACAAAATCCATAGGAATGCCTTGCCCGCCCTTCTAGGCCCTAGCTAAAGTCGCAATGCTACATCTTGTAAACTTTACGAAAATCACCAAAAATCCGAAAACAGGAATAGAAACAGCTACCCCTGGCAACGGGCCAAGGTTTTCCTCCATGGAAGCTGTGCAAAAATTTTCCGCTACGCTACGCAAATGTCAATGCGAATTAGCGATGCAGCACGGCCAAGAGAGCCAATAGAAATGGATAATCAGGAGGTAAAAGCATTGATTAAGCTTAATTTCGTGGGTTTGAGAGCTTCCCCAGTCAAGGCGTTAGGCATTCTGATGGTTAACAAGTTTTAGAGGACCTAAAATGTTATGAACCCTAAAGTTCAGAGATCCGGAACCAGAGCGTTTTGTCAAAATTTCCGATCCTGAACAGCTGCATTCTAATTTCCTAATGGGCTCAAAGCCGCCAAAATTCGAATGTCCTTTAACAATTTTCACAAAGAGTGGAAGCTTAATGCTCTTATTATAATGAATAGTGATAAAAGAATTAAGTATCTATAAATTTTATTAACTTATGATCACAAGGAAGTGTACCTATTTTAGAGGCGTCACTACTCAAATGTCTCCCGCCCACCCCTCCTTTCCCCGATTATTCTGACAATTCAGGGGGATGACGACGTTTTTGCGGGCGTCTTGGCAAGGTTATGCCTATCTATCTTATATATCAAATAGTAACCTAAAAAGTCCTGCAAAAATCTGGTGGTCTAGCTAACTGTAAACGTTACATTCCGTTAAAAAAACTATAGAACCAAAAGAGTGAACGCCCGCTTCTCGAAATGTCTAAACTCCGCCTTAAATACTTGAATATGCTAGAGCTTGAGCCGAATTGAGGAACGCCTCCGCTTCTAGGCAGAATTAGGAATTTTTCGGAATGTTTCCGGAATATCCGGAATCTGCGAAATTTATGGAATCTACAGAGATCAGGATCAGAATGTTTCAATCTGCAGTAAAAAAGTTGGGTTTTTCTACATCTTCCAAAGTTTTCGGATTTCAGGTGACGTTCAAGAAGTTCAAACCGTTCAAGACAAAGCCAGCTTTTTAAAGCCCTTCAAAGAGTCGCCAAGCCAGTTGCAACCCAAAATAAAAGTTTCGTCAAAGTGGAACATGCCGGAATTGGAAACGGAGCCTCGGGTGGATGGCCACTCCCCGGATCCACGCTCGTTACCCCCTCCCAAAAACGCACTAAAAGACGCGAAGGGGCCGACATGGCAGCAGCCCTTGGCTAGCCAGACCCGGAAATGTGACCGAAACGGGCGTCAAGGGACGAATTTTTAGGAGTCGTGACAGCGTCACTTTTTGGGATTTGCCAAAATGCACGAGAAGGTCATTCGGATCGGGATTGAGTTGTTTTTTTGGGGTGGAATTTGATACGTCCGCTTGTCTAGCTTATTTCAGAACTTTCAAACGTTTTAAAAAACATACATAAAATTGACAAAACTTAGCCAACACCCGGAAACTGGTATATTTTAAAGCCCAAAATTTTAACGCACAAAAAGCCGGTAATTACGTAGTAATTTTCTTTGGATTTGCTTTTAAAACCTCTAGCGCGTTTTTTATATTTTATAATTCCGTTATTAATGATTATATATTTCTATAGGCTTAAGGCATAGGAAAAAGTAATTTTCATTTTGCAATCTTTGTGGGTTTTTTATCAAGAAACCTTAAGATTTATCAATCAACATTTTTGTAAATTTAAAACGATTTACACAAGGAAAAGCTGCGCTTGAACTGACCTCTGGGTCCTCGCCCTCGGCCGTTTTCTCGCCCTCGCCCTCATTTCCGCCGGTGAGTGAGTCGAGTCCGCCTGGAAATTGGCACTTTTATTTGGTTTTAGAGTGGAGGTGATTCCAGCGGGTCGATTCAGACTTAATTTCAAACTCTAGGGGCTTGAAACCTAATTCAAGGTTCTTGCAAATCTTGGTTTTGCAAGATTTTCTGGAAGTTCCCGGTTTTTCAGATTTGCATAGTCTGGATGCCAGGAATCAGGTTTAAGTTTTTTAAGGTACGCTCGGCGATGCTTCAGAATCGGAATGCGGAAGGCGCGAAACTTAGAAAACTCAGAATACCTTAATTTTGGGACAAAATTTAATAATAGTCAAATAAAATTGAATTGGGGGGTGCAGTAATGTCGGGACATTTTCCGGTGCCATGCCATTGACTTCACCGATCAATCTTTTCACTTCACCGTCCCTTTAAATGGTCGGAAAAATGGTTGCCAGGTATCGAAGCTAACAAAAATCTTTGAGGAGTCGAAACATGTCGACTTTTGGTTTACCGATCCGTTTCAAAACTCGGAAGATGCAAGAAACTGGAAAAACCTATCCAAAATTCACAAACTAGCAGAGATTTTCTAGACATTTCCGTCTTGGGAAACCTATCTACCATTAAATCAAATTATGACACGGCCCTTAAGCTACTGTACTTCCACATCACCTTTAATCTCATTGAACAATCCCCGTGTTTTCGCCGCAAAAGTCAGGGGCTGATGGTGGTGATGGTGATGACCGGAAGTCATAATAACAGGACCAAATCGATTTGCAGAAAATCGTGCGAGAATCCGTGGGAGTCAAAATGTCCCCTAGCGGTCCCAGGAAAATGATGGGGAATAGGATAGCAGCAGGTTGAGGTGCTGGCCAAAAATGATACCTCAGCCCCGCCAACAAGCCACCCCTAATTACGGTAATATGTGGGTCCAAGCGGAATCTTTGTTTTCAGGGAGCCGCCGAGGAGCTGATTTTGCTACCATCAGATTTCCGTTACTGGCCGGGTGAGGGGGATGGGTGAAAAATTATATTCCGGATGGTGGGTTTGGGCGTGAGTGACGGGGCTAATATTGAAAATATAAATAAAAAAACGTGGTTTTTTTGATAAAAATAAAATCTGTGGTGTGTAAAATTAAAACCTGCCACCTAATGAAGTTTTTAGAAAGATGTCAAAAAAATTAACGACACCAGTAAAAAAATTGAAAATTGGCGTACGGTACCCCAATCTTAAAGTCGTCATTTTTTGACCAAAAATAGAATTTTGGCAATACTGCTAAAAATAATAATAAATATTTTTCTAAAATTTCTGCTCTCAATTTTTCAAAATCAGTTATCCTCGAAATTTAATTAATGCGAATTTTTGGCATATAATCAAAAAGATTTTCACGATTTTTTGTAAATGTCTATAACGAGATCAAAACCACCTTTAGCCTTCTGTTTCAATAGAAATGCGGCCATGTGATTGTCATGGAAAATTGAAGCCGCGAACAGGCGGGTTTCCGGAAAACGTCGATTTTATCGTCTAGTCACGAAGCACCGGAAAGTCATAAAATTCAAATTTGCAGGCGCAGAAAAAAGTGGCAGTTCCTTATGAAATCGATCAGAAATATTTTAGGCTAGATAAATTCTGAAAAAAGCCTTAAAAAGTAACCCTAAAAAGACGCCGCCATTTTCAGGTCCCATTAGTCATTCAAAATTTTTGGTGTTGTCACTCGTTAACTGAATATAAATATGTTTTACAATTTTTTGCTCTTGTTTCGTTTTTCCGCCAGTTCCCCACCCTTCTTTCGAGCCGCTGGACCCCCAAATATGAGGTGGGCCCCAGGCGGGGCCGCTCGAACAAAAGAATGCTTCAGGACCAATTCTTCTTCTTCTCCTTGCTCTGTTTCTCTAATCCTCTCTCTTCACCCACTCTCTCTCCCATCCGCCCACGAGACATTTCAGGGGGGCCTGGGCCGTTTTGCCCAGCCAGAGGCCGATGTGTCCCCTTGGGTATTCTGAAAGGCTTTTCGGAGGGTGGTTTTAGAGGAGGAGGAGGAGGAGGAGAAGCCTACGCAATCAAGAGCTTCAGGAAGCAGATAAACTCGAAAATAACGCCGTAACTTGAAAACGAGAGCGGCCCTATGCAAAAAATTTTTTGAATGTCCGGCTCAAAACCACGAAAAAAACTTTATTTCTGCTACAGCGGGTACAACCTACGGAATTTATGCTTTGAAAATAGCAAGGAGGACCGGGCTTTTTTGTTGAATTGAGTATCAAAAGGCGCAACGTTGACGCGAAGTGACAGAACATAAAAAATCTCATTACAAAAATTTTTTATTTTCATTGACCTATAAAGATGCTTTTTACTAGATATTTAGTTCACTTCCGCAACGACAGCTACAGTAAGACAGCTCTTTTTTCGGTTTTCAGGTTGTCAGGTCAAAAATTTAAGTGCGGTCTTGATGCAAAACCGACGTCGATGTCGAAATTCCCATTTCTTGACTTCCCGGTCCCTTCCAAAGCATTCCTGACCACGTCAGCGTCCGGTTAATTTCATAAAATAATATATGTTGTGCTTTTCCCCTTTATCTTTTGTCTATGCTAAACACGTCGGCTGAAGGCCTCCTCCAATCTTTTTCCGACCCAAAGACCCGGAAGTCGGTCCCGAAGCCTCGTCCCTGGTCGCACACCCCTGAGATTTCCCTAGGCAGATTGCCGCCCTCAGGAGCCTCCTTCTCAAAAGCCTTCCTTACTGGGTATTCCACGAGGTCGAGGGGCAGACATACATGAAGATCGACATACACGCACACATACACAACAAAACCCCCTCCTTGGCACATCAATCAGAAGTGCCTCGAGCGCTTCTTCGTCGAGCTCCCCCGAATTTCGAGCCCACCCGCCGGCACAATCCGTTTTTCGGCCTTTTTCTGCCCCGAGGATTTCGACGGGTTGGAGCCAAAGACCACACTCTGAATGGGTGAAGTCACGGAGTCCGGAGATTCAATTTTTTTCGGGTTTAAAGGGGTGGTCACAGGCTGGTCTCCTCTGCCTGGCGAACGTCAAAAATAGGCTGAACAATCTACTCCAGCATTTCGCGTTCTGCCCTATCGAAATTACGCAAATTTGGGCTCGCATTTTTGTTTAAAAGCGACGGTGACACCCGGGTTTTGGAGATTCAAGCTATTAATGCCTGGCTTTTGAAACTTCAGACATTAAAAATGCGCAAAATTTATTTTTTTTGAAAATTCTAGCAAACAAAAAAGTATAGTAATTCCATCAATCTTGCGTTATGTTCCGTGCATTTTTCGACTTTCAACCCCAAAAAGCACTCCTAAATCTTCGACCCCTAGCTTTGCCATTGATTGGCTTTCCCGGAAGAAATATGAGAAAGATGGAAAATGAGGGCCGGCGGGAATCTCCCGCCGCCCCGAGGGCCACGCCGACAAAATTGGGGCAATCAGAAGCGGAGCAGCCCCAAGCCTTGGGGGCAGCAGCTCGTTTCTCCGCAAATGATGTGCGGGTGTTGGAAATATTGGATGAATCTGGGGAGGGGTTACGGTAGTTAAAAAAATGATGCCTTAAGATGTGAAAAATGAGCAATACGGACGCAGAAGAGTCCAGCCAGAACCCCGACAGCCGAAATCTCGACAATCTCGACAACGAATTTTGTTGAAAAATTGGTTTTGCTATTCGCAAAAATAATTTTAAAGGGATTCGCAAGGCAAAGCGCTGAGGTCAGAACTTAATTTTGTTGCGCCAACGGGACGCTAAACATTAAACCCTCACCCCCGTGTTTTCTATGCATTTCCGAAGTTTTCTTAGCTGGTACCATCCTTTTAATTCTCTCCTATTCCGCAAATTTTTCCCAACCACGAAAGTTCTGCCTGTCCCCCGTCAGCAAAGCGTTCAGCCCCGCCGCGCTCCAATTCCCGGGGGAAATTTGGCCGGTGTGTGGGGCGGCTAATTAGCCGGTGTGTGTGAGAGAGTCTCGTGAGGGCTGCGTGTTGGCCGCCATATACATATCTTTCTCTTTCTCCATCTCCCCCTCTCTCTCTCTCTTTCTCTCTCTCTCGCTCGCTCACTCACGACTCACTCTCTCTCTCACTCCGTTTATATCTATCTATCTATCTAGCCACACCCCGGTTAGGGGTCCCGCGACGATCGAGTTTCCCCAGGAGGGTTTTTTTCGGCGGCATTGGCTCGTGTTTTTGGGCGGCCGAGAAGCCGACCAGGGGCAACCCACTTATTCCTGGCAGTCACGCAACCCGATGGCTTGCGAGCCGTGCGCCTTTGGAATTTATGCTGAGGTCTGGAGGGCATCACACAAGTAAAATGGAGGTACTTTGGTCGAGAGACAGAGAGAGACAGAAAGAGAGAGAGAGCGAGAGAGAGAGAGAGAGAGAGAGAGAGAGAGAGAGAGAGAGAGAGAGAGAGAGAGAGGAGAAATATCAGGGCATGTTACGGAGAGGGAGCTATACAGAAAAATGAACAGAAGTTACAGGGGGATTGATAATGTTAGCGAAAGAATGCAATAAGGAGAGAGAGAGTGTGTGAGAGTGAGAGAGAGAGAGAGAGAGAGAGAGAGCGGGCGATGAGTGAGATGGACCCATAGATCCAGAGCAAGAATCGTGAGAGACAGCCGGATAAGGAAAGCGAGGGAAGGAGAGCGAGAGCTGAAGGGAGAGAGAGAGAGAGAGAGAGAGAGAGAGAGAGAGAGAGAAAGCGAGAAATAGGGTTGCTTAAGGCCCTTTAGGTATAAAGTAAAAAATTATCAGACAAGATTCGCCTGAAGTGAAGGATCAACTCCGCTACGACAAACCAGAAGGCATCGGATCAGGCGGTAAATTTAATACAAGCCAAAAAACATTCGTGAATTTACTCAACGAGAATTACGCATAACGGGTTCGACTAGTGAACGAAACTAACAAATTTTATTGAGTAAATTTCATCGTTGATTCTTACTTTAAGCAATTCAAAAACTACTCAGAAAAAATCTGTACGGTCTGTTCAGATCCTATGGTGGCCACAGCAAGCTTTGGCCCATCAAGAAACCATTTCTAGGTAGTAATTTGTATAATAAACTACATAACTCTGGTTAAAAGAACAAAGGTAAAAGCCGAAGATATTTCTATAATTTTTGACAGTGCACTTAACGGTAATTGCCGATAAAACCCGAAAAAGAGTGTCGAGAGCCAAAAACAACCAAAACCCTCAAAACCAATAAAAACCCCAGCTCCCACTCACCTCCCAGCGGGTTGCCCAGCATTGAGCCCACGATCATGTTCATTTTGGCAGAGTTTCAAAGGGTAGATCCGACTTCAAATAAATAGAATAGGAAAATCCCGAAGCTACGTGTGTGCTCGGGAGGCTCTTTTTGTGGTGCGGGTTGGGGGCCCGGATAGAGCAGATCCTCAAACGGGGCGGGGTTGGTTAGAGATGGGGGAGACGGAGAGGGACCAGAGATTGAGAAGGGTCTGGGCCTCTCCCCGGGGGCCCACTCGGGGGGCCCACCCCACACCCACAGGCCATTCAAAAGCTGCCCCAGGCGGGCCTCTCGCCTTTCGGCATACACGGACAAACGGACGGAAAGACAGCCAGATGGAAGAGAGACATACAGACAAACCATAGATAGAGAGGGTTCTTCCAGCGAGAGAGAGATAGACAGCGAAAGAGGGAAAGAGAGATCCAGAGAAAACCAGATGTAGAGAAATACCGACATACCGCGACATACATAGATTCATTTTTTGACGAAATAGATCAACGGTCAGAGAAGGAGGGAGAGAGAGAGACGGAGAGAGACAGCGAGAGAGAGAGAGAGAGAGAGAGAGAGAGAGAGAGATCTACAGACACGCTTATACGTCTCCCAACGGCCATTTGTTCGAGCCCTCCAGCTCCTGAAGAAAGGAAGCGTTCCCCTGAATAGGTTGGAACCCCCGAACCTCTCTCAGAAAAACAATTTTAAAGGGGCCTGGAAGACAGAGATCGTGGATTTTTCAAGATTTTGTAGCTTCAAGTAGACAAAGTCTAAAAAGCCCTATGGGCTTGCTTTTTAACTACTGTAAGCCCGTGAGATAGAGCGAGGGTGAGAGGGCGAGGGAGCGAAACAGAGACTATGGCAGAGAGATCGTGAGAGATTGAGAAAGACTAGAAAAAATCATGAAAATCTTGCAAGTTTCCACAGCAAAACACTGCCTTCTCCTTCCTCAAAAACATTAAAATCTATTCTTTATTCTTTCCGACCTTTATGAACGAATCCCATCATGGAATTTTTCTATCCCTTTATCCCTTTCTCTCTTGCTCTCGTTTTCCCGTTTTTCGGGCCAACCATCCAAATCCAAATCCGCACGCCCGCTAATCCGGGCCACCAACACCCGCGTCTATTGTCAAATCCTTCGCCTCCAAAAATTCACGCAGAAACATCACTTTTTTTGGTGCGAGCTTTGCGGTTTGTTCAGCCGCCCCGTGCTCGTCGCCCTCTCTGTGTTCGCGCTTTTGGAATTCAGGAAAAAGCCCATTGTGTTTGAGGTTTTTTTGCTAGCGGAGGGTAGGGCGAAAAAGAGTTTAGGGCCAGAATGCGCGAGGAGGATTCGCGGAGCCTCGGAGGTTCAGGGCCCAAATTTTGGGCGTTTGGGATGGAACGAGGGATCGGGACCCAGATTTCGATTTCTAAAAAGACATGGAAGGCAGAAATTCTCGGATTTTGAAGGTCCTTACTGTTTATTCTACGTTTATTTTTTATGTCTTAACGGAACAAAGTGAGCAGACCTTTCCATGAGGCGCTTTTGGATCGAGACAGGGGTCCGAACACAGATTTGGAAGCATAGTAAGCTTGCACGTAAGTCCAAAATCCATAGATCTTGAGATTCCTTGACTTAAAGAGACCGCAAAGCATGACACCTACAATTACACAATAAGCCTAAGCCTAAGCTAAGCCCTAGCCTAAGCCTAAGCCTCGTGAAACTAACATTCCAGCAAAAATTGTCTCCAAAGGTTTTCTTATGCCGTTTTTAGAGATACTTGCAGATTATCAATCCATCGAGGATCATTCTTGGAAAGTGCAAGGGACAGTAAAGTTAGGATTCAATAGGCGTAATGCCATTGCGTGATGAACTGCTAAAGTTGGTAGGTCGAGGGTTAAACCGATTAGGCTAGGCAAAGGCGATCTTGCGCGTTGCGTATCGCAGCACTAAATGATACATAAGGGGCCTACGGCCAATAAAATTCATAGACATGCCTTGTCAGGCACTTTCACGGCCTTTGGAAAGAACTGCTACGTTTACGCTTTATATTTACGTTTTGCATGTTTTCTACATATTCCAGGTTTCATGACTGGCATGGGCCATGCAGGTTTCCGTTTTATCCTTACTTATTGCTCTCGCCTGAGTTTGTTACCATCTGTTAATCTGTCTTGCCAAGTCGAAAAACCTCCAAGCACACCCAATTTTTTGCTTAACATTTGCCCTCCCGGCCCGCATTCCACCCCGCAACCCTATCGACGTTTTTTTAAGCGTTAGGGGTCTTTGTGCATGTCGAAGGGCTAGAATAGGGGGCATTGAGTGCCGCTGGGGGTCCTCCCGACGGGACCACCCCGTTGAAATTGACAACGTTCTGGGGGCCAGCCAGTCTGGGGCCACGTGGGCCTTATAGCGATATTTTATGGGGTATATTGCCCCGCGCGTTGCTGGGGGTTATTTTACGAGGAAAGCGGTGTGCTAATCGGAGGATTAGAAGCGGAAGTAGGGAGTTTCTGTAGTGGAATTTCAGAATCTATCGAAAAGCATGATTTGAAGGCTATTTTTAAACGATTTTCATTGAAAAAGTTACTGAGAAATTGAATATGGTTGGAAAGAACGAGTAGAAGGTCGTTAAAAGTACGCAGGAAGTAAGAAATCGTAAAAACAATTTTATCTATCAAATAACGAATGGAAAATATTATTAAAAATGTTAGAAAATAGTTCTTTGACTGAAAAAATAGCAAAATAGACTCAGTAACGAACTACAAATATATTTACGCTAATTTAAATTGATATAAAATTTTGGAAATTGCAACGAGTCTTTTCAACGTTAAAAACGCGATCATCAGATTTCAATAAAACTTTTAATCTCATTTCGAATGTTTGGAAAATGGTAATCGGGTTTAGATTAAAAGACACCTTTTATTTTACTGATAATTCCCGGAAATAACTCACCTTTCATCTCGTTCAGCTTCCCTCCCACCATCTGCTTCATCACAAACCCCGCCATTTTGCCGGTTCTTCAAAAAATGGCTTGAAAATCTCGTGGCCCGAATTAGCGTTTCCTTGTCTCGACACCTATCAAATCACGTAATGAATGGATTGTATAAATCCCAAAAAAAAACAATAGAAAATTTTGTATCTAAAAAATAAAAAAACCTTAAAACAATTAAAAATGTAGAAAATTGCTGTCTATCGCCGATTTATCGTTGGAAAAGAAATGACGATTAATGCAGAGAAATGCTAAAATTTAAATATTCTGCAGGGACATACGGTGGCTCATCCGTAAAATTAAGGGATCAACTGCCAGGTGCTTGAAAAAATGAAAGAGCCTACTTTTTAGCAAAAATAAAGAAATTTCGAAAACGAACACAAAGAAATTGTTGCCTCACGCGCACACACGGGAATCGAATTTGGCATCGGCCGCTTGGGGGCCAGAGGGGAAGGCTTTTTGGTGTTTGAGAAATATGGTTGTGGCAGTTGGGCAGGAGGAGGGAGATGATTTCGTAAAAGAATGAGTTGGCAACGCGGGATGCGTAACTAACTAATGTCTGGGTATTGAAAGATCAATAGTTCTAAACAGAAATCTTTGCAAAGTGCTTTCTAGACAGTTTTAAGACTACAATATAGTTTCGACGCAAGCGCGACTTGAAAAAATGTTTAGACAATAGAAAATAAACGATTTTGCACTTCCATCGCGAATTTTGCAAAGGAATCTTTCCAATCATTTTCATTTTAGTGTTATTTGCTTTTGCGTAAGCTGGATAGAACCCCAAACGGACCACTTGCAAAATGTTAAAAATGATAATTTCGAAATTCATAATGCCGAAATTCCTAGTGTCAAATTTCATAAGCAGAAATTCCTGATGTAGACATTAAAAGTAGAGGTCGAAACTGTAGCATATCCAAAATGCAGAATTTACATTTTTCTTTTTCATTTACACAAGCATATGCGAAAATTGATAACACATATTTCTCAAATTTTGAAATTTCGATATTCTCAATTTTCGGTATTATGGAAATTCTACATTATGAATTCGTAATTATGAAGTTTCGACATAGATTTCAATATGAGGAATTTCGACATTTTGAAATTCTGGCACTATTAATTTCCAAATGATGGATTTGCGGATTTTGAATTTCAACATTTCGATCTTTTTTTTGCTTGTTGGTTAGCCTCTAGTGGCTGGAGCTTGTGCAAAAAAAAACTAAATACACCCAAACATTTGCTTTGAAGCGTCGCGTAGCTGAGTAGACCTCAGAGAAAAAAGCGGCTGATTCGCACTTCTAGGTCCCTTTAAAGCAAATCCGTCAGAATCCGGAACCTCGTCACCCACAATGAAAAATGCTGAACGAAGCAGCCCCCGGTGGTGCGCGTGCCAGAATCGAAGGGGAATTTGAAAGCACCGGGGGATTTGTGGAGCGTATTTGTGGCCACCCATCCTCTTCCTCCCCCCACCCAACGGTGTTTTCCATTCCCTCAAGAAATTGTGGCCGGAAGCATTTCCTCAAAATCGACTACGCAGCACACCGCGCAACGCAGACCCGCAGCCACAAACCGCCGCCGCTGCTGAGGCATTTATTTTGAGGTTGGGGTGAAAAATGGTGGTGACCGGGGCTATTGTTTGGGGGCGGCCTGGAAATGTATTGAGCGGCACGGGAATTTCTTTTAGAATTTGGGAAACCTGGGTTTTTGCCTTGATTTTGGGTTTTGAAGAGGTCGAATGGCTGCTTCCGATGCCTAAAAAATTAGAACAAATTGTACAAATCATACTAAGACGTTTCGATAGTAAAATCAATCTGAAATGAAATTTTCTCTGTCCTCAAACAATAGCGTTGATTTTGCTAATAGTCAATTGCGCAGGTTTTCAATTAAATTAAATTTATCACTATTTTTCAATATCGAGAGCTTCCCTTAATAAAATTTTATATTGATAAATTAAAAATACAAAAAAATTGAAAACTAAATTTAAAAAATCCAGTGCCAAAAACGGTTATGTATTTGCTAAACTCGACGTTGAAAAGCTTGTTGATGGAAAACTGCATAGTTTCG